ACTTGAGCAACAAAAAATGTTATCAAGGAATTTCAAAAGTATGATGTATAAGAAAACATGGGAATTTTTTATTGTCAACGACAGCTTGTGATTCTAGTGAAATTCATCATACAATTTTTTCCCGGATTCTAAGACCTTAATTTATTATTTCCGTTTCCGTCAAAGTTTGTGGGTTAAGGCTTAAAATGTACATAAATTAATTGATTTCCTGTGACAAGAAAAAAATAGATAAGAAATTAAATCTGGGATTTTATTAATATAAATTTTTCTAAATTGAGTAATTCTAAAATCTTACAAAACCCTTTGTGTGTATTTCAATTAATCAATAAATTTGTTCAATACCAATTCGTAATTAAAACTCATAGATATTGTTGTGGCAAAAATTCGCCTAATAAATACTTAAAATTATCTCGCTGTCATCACTTATTTTCAAGACCTCATTGTTATTAATACTCTACAGCAATCTCTTCAAGGAAATACATTTCCCACAATAATAAATATTTACCGCCGGTATTATCAATATTGGCAAGCAGCAAAGACAATGCCAAAACTGTTTGTTGTTTTGCATTTGGTCAAGTCACGAGTTAGCCCCGTGACTCAGGCGACTGATAAACCATTATTCTTATCTGTGAGATACAGATACTCGAAATGCTGTTGTTCTGGAGGAAATTTGCTCAGTGCGTAGAAAGTCGGTTTCTCTAGATGGGGTAAAATTCGATTTACATACGGCCTGGCCCAATTCATCGGGCCAAGTTTGGGGGACTACTGGGGGAAAACCTGAGCAACTTGCTTTAAATGAGCCGTGTTATGTAAATGTTTCTTTTTTTCCCATCTCCATTTGATTTTTGCTTAGTTTTTGTGACTAGATCTGGCCAAATGTCGAACGCCCACATAGGAATGCTGGAATTTTGTCAAGACTTCATTATGCCAATCAGGGGTGTATTATGGATTTTATATTAGAGGAGAAAATTTAGAAAAGTTAAAAAAATGTTGCTATTTTGTTATATTTTTAATTTAACTTTCCATTGATAAACTTGGCTTTGGAACTATAAACATTTCACACCATTTTTCTTAAAATTAAATTAAAATAAAAACTCTGGGAAGTATTATCCCTTATTTTAATTTTGAAATTTTGTAATATTTGTAATATTTTTGAAAAGGTTTTAGTAAGTTTTTTGAGGGGGTGTTGCCCCAAAAAATCGGAAAACACCTACGCCACTGATGCCAGTCAGTCTGAAAAGTATGGTCGAAAAAATTGCCATATACGGTGTATTTTTTCCGTATTGTAACGCTGATTTATGGCGACGAGTCGTCTGCGTCGAAGACATCCAGTGAATATGTACCTGACTTAAGCATTGAACTAAAAAAATGTGCACACTAACCAATATTCGATGAAAATATATGTGCAAGCCAAGGGAAAAAGAAACGAATCGAAAAAGATGAACAATATATTTAATTTGCAAAGTCAGAGAGGCAGCGGCAAAGGCAATTTTGTGTTTGCCCACGAGGCCGGCAGAGCGTCGGGCAGACCTCCAATTCCATTCATTATAATCGGGGCCCGTTCATTTCATTCATAAAAAAGACGAAGCGAAACGAAACGAAGCGAAGCCGAACGCCAGGCGAATGTATCTGTATCGGTAAGTGCAAATGTATCTGTGAGAGGCCACAGCGCCAATTCGCCGTGCGGCGAAACGTTCTCTCGAAAGAGTTGAAATTGAGATATTTTTATGTGAGCGAGAAATTTGCATTTGCTTGTATCTGTGCCCATTTGGAATATGCCATTTATTTATTTTGTATTCTACAGATACTACGCCCCATAGTAACTAAAAAAAATACAAAAAAAAAAACCATCCACTTCCCCACTGTTTTTCGGGAAAGTTCAAGCTAATCTTCGAATTCCGATCCCCAGAAGCGGAACATCTTTGTTTACTCTTTGAGGTTCGGCCTATTAGACAACACCCATATGATTTTATTTTATTTTTCACATTTTTCTCTCAGAAAAGTGCTACTGGTTTTGAGTTGGAGATTTCGAGCCAGAGTTGTCGAGCTTGAAACCGCACGCGCCGCTCAATCGTGTATCTTTTTTATGGCTTGGCCGCGGCAACTCTGCTCGAGAGCAACATCAACAACTGCTGGTGAAAACAACAAAAGCAACGACAGCCCAACCAGTCGCGTTGTTGTGTTTGCTTTTTCAACATCATTCATACTCAAGAGCTATGAGTTGTTAATATCATGGGTTCTGCTTTTTGATGTGTCAGCAGTTTGGAATGAAAATAAAATATTCTGAAAAAATATTAAAGAACTATGAGGGACGAGGGACATTTAAAGACTTGTAATAGTTCTAGTTTCAAAATAATTTTATTTTATCTAATAATTCTATGATATTCATATATTTTAAGCTGATTTTATGGAAAAAACATTGATTTATATTTAAAAATGATGTTGTAAGCAAGCAATATCAGCTTCTCTTAAGAAAGTACAGAACTCTATTAAAAAAGGTTAGGAATTACAACGTTTGTTAGGAAATTATACCTCGTTTTCATGGTAAACGAAAAGTAGGTTTCAAAACTGCAATTTTAAACACATCTTTACGTAATCAACCATATTTCATAGTATGCTTTTAGGCGTTATATCGTCAAAATTTTTTTTTGTCCACTAAAATTTTTTTTAAATCTTTGAAAACGATATGTTAGAAACATGCTTGCATTTTTGGAATTGTTTTAAAAATATAAAAAATTAAATGAAGTTTTTTTCTAGAAACATTTGAGGGTAATATTTTGTATTTGTAATTTTTTTGATTCTTAAATGAATGAATTTCTGTCACTTCTGGGACCTTTTTGTATGAATGATTTGGCACCTTTGTCTCACCTGAGCGAAGCATTTCCACGCACACATGGGCACACGTGGACTCAACATCTTATGCTTACCTCATGCAACGTACACAGACACTCGTGTGTCTCAGTGGCTGGAAACCCAGACACACACATGGAAAAACATCTTGAGTTTTCCGTTTTCCCCCAACTTTCTCGCCTCTCTCTCTTTCGCTCTCCCTGTGTGTGCGTAATTTTCATTCATATTGTCAGCCAACGCGACGCAGTGGGCAGCGCAGTCAGCGTTTCTTTTTTATATATATATTTTATCCATCTGAGAAATTGCTTTTATTTTATCTACGAGGTCTAAAATATCTAACAAGAATATTAATATATTAATTAGTTTATTAGATTTTCTAACAAAACAAAAAAAATAGAATTCCTTCAAGGTTTAATAGCCAATATTATTGAGACATAACTTAACAAATTAAATTGGCATTCAAAAAATCCTTGCATTCAATAGTTATTCTTTCTTTTTGTGAATATATATTTTTTATTTTTTATGGGGGATGCTGTATCTGTGTTATTGTAGTTATTGTGGTTACTCTAACTGCTACAGATTTGGAGAAAACATGCAAGAGGAAAATTTCATTGAGGGAAAAACGCAGATAGTATGGAAAATGAGCAGAGCCGAGAGGTGATTGGCAAATTGGCGACGGGGAAAATTACCAAGTTTATGCACGCAACGGCCGGAAAAGCGACGACGACAGCACACCCATTCGTGGAAAACTTGTTCGGATCGGGGATTCGCCGCGTAGGCAATCTAGCAGCTTAACCCCTTGGTGACTACGGTTTTGGTTGTTCAAGATCGGTTAAAAATGGCGGTGGTATTTTAAATAAATAACACGACATTTTTATGGATTTTTCGATTTGCACTACTTTAACTATTTTTTTGCAAGCCGATTTTAAAATTTTTACCAAAGAAAGATTTATTATATAACATGTATATATTTTTGATATGGTATTTTGATTTTGTAGTAGCTACTCGCAAAAGAAATATTTCCAACAGAAAACCATTTTTTTCGTTGCTTCTAAAATGTTTTTAAAAATATTTTTGCTTTTGTTAAATTTTCTAGATTTTCTAAAAGCATAATAACCTACCTTTTATAAAAATAATTGGCTTTGATAAGTCTTAAAAGATACTTTGTTAAGCGTAGGAAACCCATATCATGCTGTTGATATTTATGTTTAAATTTTATTTATTTCTAAGCTATAAAAAAAATTGTACTATAGCCTAAAAGGGTTAATGGCGGGTAGGAGGCAGAGGCTGCGGCGTTGGGGCCGCCGAGGGGCTCGCTCATTGCGGGGGGCACAGCCATCGCTTGGCTTTGCTGTATTTGCTGCCTTTGCCTTTGCTCTGTTGTTTGTTTGCGCTGCGAGCTGTTCGCTGTTTGCATTTAAATTTAAATGAATGAAAAAGAAACTGGCATGAATTCGCCTCGACCCGCTGCCCCTCTCAAAAAAAACCCCCCTTGAAAACGAACGAGCGCGCCTACAAGTTGGCATATTTTCAATTTCCGTTTTTTACACAAACACAGCAAGGCACACAGATACAAATGGGCGAGGGGGGCGAGGCAGTGGGCCAGGGCGGTCGAGAGGGGGTTTGGGGGCCCAGGGGCGGCAACGTCCGGTTGGTTTTTAGTACGAAAAGTCGCAACAGCCGAATTCGCCGCGAGAGAGAGAGAGCGAGATACATTCGCCTAGGTTTATTCGTAATTCTCTGTTGAGATTAAAAAAGTGATCGTTTTATTATTTTATAATTTCTAATCGTGATAAATTACAGATTCTAAATTGTTGGGAAACTAGAGAGAAGAACTTTATTTTAATGGCTTTAAATATTAATTCCAAAATTAAAAATCGTTTGCGGATTGGTATAGGATTTTTTAAGATAAACCGCCTACAATTTAATTCACTTGAATCCATAGGTCATTCATTTAAAATGAATTATTTTTGTTTAAAATTTTCAATTCTCTCAACAATTACAAAATTTAGAAGAAGTTTAAAAAAATGAGTTTGCCGCATTTTAGCAGAGACCTTAACAGGGACTTAACAGAGGTTCTCAAAAGATAAATTCGCCCTCTCTTCGCCGCGAGTTAGCAGCGGGCGCTGTTAACAAAAATTAAAACGACTGCGGCTCATTTCGCTTCAAAACCTCGTGACGAGCGGTTGCCGCGATTGCCGCGTTCGCTGTCTTTCCGATTTCCTCAAAAATCAAGCCACTTTTTTGTATAAAACTACAACATTTTTTTTCGAAGCAACCACAACGATTAAACAAAACTAGCAACAATAGCCTGCTAAACAAAACAATTCACAACCAAGACGCGTCAAACAACAACCCATATATATTTTTATATATATATAAAACAACAACCAATCACTTGAAATTATTGTGTGTGGTGAAAAGTGAGTGTGTATTTTTGGGAAATTCAAATAGAAATAGAAATAGTTTACCAAACCAATCGCTTCCAATGGAAATCATGTGCCTAAAAATGCAAATTGCCCGAAGAAAATCAACAACGTCTATTTAAAACATAAAAAAAAAGTCCAACTCAAGCCAATCAAATACAAAACGTGTTGGGAAAAAGTCAAATAACAAAAAAAGAAATAAAAAAAGTACGGCAAATACAAAATCAAACAACAACAGTCTCTCGCGCACACAAATATTTTTATATTTTTATATATATATATGTACATATATAAAATTGCATAAAAATATTTTTTTACTCAAGACAACGACGCACACACACACGCAGCGACGAGATACACAGATACATTCGCCGCTCGCACACACGACGACGTGGCCCCCGCTTTCAGTGTGTTGGTGTATCTGTGTGTGATTGTGCGACGCCAGCGTCGCTGCTCCAACAACAAAAGCGGCAGCAGCAGCAGCAGCAACAACAACGACAGCAACAGCGGCAGCAACAACAACAACTATACCGCCGGTCGCCAAGTTGATTATTATTATTTTTTTGGCACGCCAAAAACCCAGCGCATATAATAATACGAGGTTGGCAAAAATAATAACAAAATCAAACATCGTCGCCGGCGTCGTTTTTGTGTTAATTAAATTTACTTTTGTGAATGAAATGCGAAAGAAAGCAAAGCGAAAAATCATCTTTAATAAATGCTAAATAAAACCAGCAGTCGCGATCGCGAGTAAGAATTTGAAGAATCCCCCTTCCAAAAATCGCCTTTGGATTATACCCCAAACTAAAAAAAAAACCGAAATCATTTTGGATACTCCTCGGAAAATATTAAGGATTACACAACATTTATGGTGATTAATTACGGAATTTGTACCACGGATTGCTTTTGAAAATCAATGTAAGTTCGCCCCCTCACAGCTGCCAAGATATCTGGGTATATATCTCTCGAATCTCTCAGATACATAGATACATAGCCGCACAAATGGTGCAATTTCAGTTAATCACGTTTTGGCGTCTAACCTTCGGCCAGATGGATTGCCAGGAAATGCACAATTCTTGATAGAAATAATTGGTGTATATGTTTATTCCATGCGAATATCTGATTAATTTACGACTGCATCGTGACATGTTTTTTATTTTGAAAATAAACATAAGTAGTGATCAGCGATCAGGAAGAAATCAGGTTTTTCCAATCCAAAACATCAGAGGAAAATAAACATTAAAAGCTATCAGAGATCAGGGAGAATTGTACGAACATTTTAGATTTTAGTGGGCCCAATATAAATTTTATTACTGGGTAAACAAGGCTTTTTTTTTATTTTTTTATTAAGAAAATGTCTGCAGATTCCCTGAAAACAGGATAATATAGTTAATTAAACAGCCTTAAATACTGAGTTGTGTAAAATGGTCTTATCGTTCTTGGTTCGATTTTTATTTTCTTGAATAGTACAAAACAATTACTGCTTTCCAAAAACCTATTTCCTCGTCTTATTTTTGTTTTGCCCCGCTAAGATTCATCCGTTTTTTTCCTGCCCTCTAGAATTTCATTGAAGAAAACAAAACGTTCTATAGATAGAATCGCTTTGATCTCGTCTGAAAGTGCTAAAAATAAATATATATAAATGCATTAACTGTCAAAGTAAAATCAAATAAATTTCCCTGTTTTTTATTTGATAATGTGTAGAGTGTTGCCGTATTTTTTTTCGCGGCTGCCGAACAAAATGTTTAACTGACATTTCAAGTTGTTTGTTTGTCTGGCCTCGTCTCCCATCGGTATTTGCTGATCGGACCAGACAGATAATCCCGATTCCATTCCCAATTCCAATTCCAATCCCAATCCCCGCCGTCACAGGAGAATATCACCTTTTTATTGAAAATAAATTGCTCTCCGATTCGGTGTGCATCTGCGGAGAAATTCTAGAATGTGAATTTATAAAGTTGTTTCATTGTTGCCCAGCGATCGACTGATAATGGCCAGTCGATCCGATCCCATCCGATCTGGCGATCGATCGATCGATCGATCACAACCCGTTCCACAGAGAATTCCATTCACAAATCAGTCGACTGACGACTGACTTTAGCTAAACCCTTCTAATCAGTCGCCCAGTTTTTTATTCTTCGTACACTTTTTGTTTTGAGATTTGAGATGTGTGGCAAACCTTTGGACACTTGAGCGTGTTTTTCTACTCTATTTTTAAACACTTTTTCGTTGGGTTTAATCTACGAAAAACAGAAAGAGCGTGAGGTGAGGCAGTTTCGTCATCGATACTTTTTTTCGTTTGTGGCTCGATAAGACCAAGACCCCCAGGTATTAGGCTCGTTTTTTCGGGGCTTTGGCTCTGCCATTGCTTTTGCTTTCTTTTTCACGCTGACACACGCTTAAAAAATCAGAAGAAGTGGCGAGGACTGATAAACCAACGAAGAAATATTTAAGTTTATTTACTTTTTGCTGGCTGTTAATTTTTGGGGCTAACGGAAACGAGAGGCAGAATAAATAAAAGAGGCGTAAAAACTTTTCAACCGATAAGTTAACATTTTTTTTTTTGATCGATGGTCTGGTCTCGGCTTTTTTTTTTTTTTTTGTGTTTTTGGTAGGGGTTTTACCACTTTTCAATTGAATTAAGTGGCCTGCTGAGTTCTGTTTTTGGGGTCGGGTTTTTGTGTTCTGAATTTATGTCATAGCCAAAAATACACAAATACAAATTTCATTCATAATGGAAGGAAATTCTCGCGTTGGTTTCATTTCGTTTCGTTTCGTTTCTGCCAAAAACATGTGCACACAAACATATCTGAATAAATAAATTAAATGCTTAATTTTTATTAGCTAAATAAACAGCTAGACACACAGCGAAGCACCAGCAGATCCACAATGACGTTGATGACGCAGACGCCAAATAGACAGCCAGATAGATGGGGAAGTCGTGAAGGTTTCCGAGGGGTATACAAACATACAACGATACTATATACACCCCTATATTCTTGTGGTCGAGCAGAGAACTTTGTAGATCACCTGTAACTTTGTATGAGAGACTAGCCTTTAATCAATCTAATGCTCCCGCCTCCGGCGCCTCCCCTTTCACCTGATTTATAGCAACTCGTCTATATATATATCCAAACCATGCATATATCTTCCTCTGTCTTATTTGGGATATATCAAGAATAGTCGGCAAAAATAAAATTACACAAACAACAGCGAGAGGCCGAAATGACAGCAAATTAATTGCATTCGCAACACTAAAAATAGATAATCACGAAACTGTTACCAAAATGTAAGGCAGGCAAGATCTGCATAGGCTATACATATATCTATATCTATATCTATATACTATATATGTTGCGATACTGACGACAACAACCGACGACATAATTGAAACAACGGCTCAGGCGGGCGGTGCAGAAAGCTAAACATAGAAAACCAACTGCAAAGTGATCATAATAATCTATATAGAATACCAGAATACCAGAGAAGATATATCAAAACGATCAAGTGGAATGCGGGGAACTAACGGGCGAAATCTTGAACCCCCCATGTAACATTTACTGAACTCGAGGGAAAATAATAAGGTAAAGGGGATGGGCAGGCGCACGCTTCAATGGGTTGAGATTTCAGATATGCCGTATAGATGGGCATGGCACATATATAGTAAAGTATCTATAAGATATGTGTTTGTGCTGCCAGCAAAGCAAAACGCCAAATGACAGCCCAACAAGAACCGAACTGAACTCAACTCAACTGAGAGGGCAACAACAACCATTTTTATGCCGCAAGCAAACATGTGATTTTCATTATTTTTGTCGTCGCACCGACGCTGAAAAAAAAGCGAAAAAAGGAAAAATGGCCTTTTTATTTTTGAAAATTATAATTTTTAAAAATAAATGCCACAACAACAAGCATGTTTGTTGTGGGGGCCAAACAGACAACTGCAATTGAAAGAGCTGACGACTAGTGGATTTATGAAGACTACGAAGTAAATTCAAAGGGGCCTTAAATTGCTTATACTTTTTTGGGTTAATCATTAATTAATGGGTCTGTGAAGAGTTTTAAATGAAGCTTTTAGAATGCATTAATCAGATTTATATTGTTTTTCGTAGGTTAATTACATATTAATGGAATTACTTTAGCAAAAGATTGGTTTTCTAGGAATTTAAAGAAGTATTTAAAGTAATGTTCTTAATATTCCATTTGATATGGGTATGAATTTTGATTATATTTGTCATGCAGCTTAATTAACGATTAATTTAATCGATTTAATTCCTATTTTCAATACAAATTTGACTAAATATTCCCCCTATGACTGCATGTTAAAGCTTTTTCCATGGCTCTAACTACGTTCTGAGGTTTTCCTGACAAATCTTGTCCATTAGCAGAACTAAGACAATAACTGCACCCCCTTTTCGTACAGAGGGGTACACCCCAGATCAGCCCACGCCCCGAGCTCAGTTCCATTTGTTGTTTTTAGATCGGTTTCAGTTTTAGATGGATTTCAGCTAGGGGGAACTCGGAAGGGGTACGAGATTGGGAGGTGGGTGACCACCCAAGAGGCGAGGCGGTGGTCGAGCAACGCATACAAAACGCTCATTAATCGAGCGTCTTTAGAAATGGTCTAAACACACAGCCAGAGCCCTATATACACACTCACATATATATCCATCGAATATGTACAGACTATATGTGCGCAGCTAGAAAAAACAAATCGTTGCCCCATAGAATTGTCGTCAATGAATGGCTGACGACGACGACGACAACCTATGATAAAGCCAAAGATGCCGATGATGATAATATAGTGGCGATGATGACGATGATGCACAGAGCAGTCAGCATGGATAAAGTGAGCAAAGGATGACATTCCTGGGGGGTAGTGAGGTGGCAACTGCTTATGACAGCCCTTTGAATTGGAGTCGTAATGCAATTGCCTGGGCGTGACCTTTGCCACCAGCAGGTGACAACTTGGACACGTCCAAACAAATGCGAAATGCTGGCATTTCTCTCGGTCCTTATCCCCACTTCATATGCAAAGTCTGCACGTGTGCACTGGGGAAAAATGGTCCAAAGAAAGAATATTATCAGGATTTTACTATAATAGTTCCAGTAATAATAATATACATTAAATCTTTCTCAAGTATTAAAATGTTATGTCAAATTGTATTACTTTCTCAGAATATTGAAACTATTTTAAGCTTTAACCTATGGGTTTGATAAGGAAATGATTTTTGATAAGTGAAATCTAATAAAGCTACTCACATATTTTAAATGGTAACCCTTATCAGTAGAACATTTAAATAGCACAGGCTTATATCCATACTAATTTTAACTCTTAAAAAGAATATAACAAGTTCTTAGGAACATACAATCATACATAATACCTATAAAAAAAAGTTATTACCACGCTTTTCCATCTAGCTGATATGGTGATTCGTTTTTTTCCCGTGTGAGGTCAAAAATAGCTAACCGAGCGTGGGCCAGGACTTTATGTGTATTTATTATATCTGCGTGTGAGCGTAGGTGACCTCAAGACGGGCCCACGCAGCCTTCCTTTGGAGACCTCCAGTGGGCGTGCTCGTCCACCCAAAAACCCATTTCCCCACCACCCATCCCCGCCCCTTAAAAAACACTTTAAGCGTCAGTTTTCCCCGTCAGTCTTATCTAAAAGTTACAGGTGGGGCAGTGGAGCTCTGGGCATGGATATGCACTATAAGGCCGTGGCTTTCCGCTTCTTTTTTCACATCTTTACGATTTTTTTTTGGGTTGTTTGTTGGAAAATCGGTGAGCTAAAAATAGATTTCGGTTGCCACGCTTCGAGGAAAATGAGGAAAATTAGGAGCGAGGCAGACGAGTCAAGTGCGTGTATCTGTGTGGCTTTTGTGGGCGGTTGGTTGGGTTGTCGTTTTGCTGCTGGT